CACAAACTGGTCTGTCACCTGACGCACACGCACCTAGGGCCGCGCCATATCCCCGAGATGGGCTCGGCAGGGCCACGGAGGGCAGGGCCACGGAGGGCAGGGCCACGGAGGGCAGGGCTGCCGCCGACGGTTATCGGAGGAGATGTGTGAGCACCGTCACACTTAAAAGTCTCGAGCATTATTACGGCCATAGGGTCCCACATTTTACCCCGATGTCTATGCGGACACGAGCTGAACAGTCTCGCTGTCAAAAGCAATGACTCACACCGGATGCGGTCTTGACTAGAAGTCTCAAGTTATGAACAGCGACAGAAACGCACAGACACACACACACACTCTCTCTCTCTCTCTCTCTCTCATTCTCTCACACAAACAAGCGCGCACTCACACAGGTTCACATAGGATCTTGGCTCAGACGGAGGCCTCGTCGATGACGGTGATGACCCGCTTGGGGTTAGCGACGAGCCTCCACTTGCCCCCCGAGGCCACGCGGCCGGGCCCCGGGCCTACCGGGGGAAGCTCCCTGGAGCCGCGCCGCTGTCCCGACGCCGCCTCGTCGTGCGGGGGGTCGTGGGCGTCCCGGGGGTCGCGGGGGTCGCGGCTGGGCAGCGCCGAGTCGTCCTTGGCGGCGGCGCCCTGGCGCGCTAGCGACCACCGCCGGCCCTTGCGGTCCAGGATGACGGGCACCTCGGCAATCAGGTTGTTCTCGAACTCGCTCAGCATGAGGTAGTTCTCCACCTTGTTGCAGGAGGTGATGCAGTCGCCAATGTAGTCCAGGTCGTCCAGCAGGTTGTCCGGCAGGTCCATGTCCGCGATGCCTTCCTCCGAGATGCAGGTGAGCTCGGGCTTGTCCGCGGCCGCGTCCCCAGGCGGCGTCAGGCCCAGGCCCAGGTCCGTTCCGCCCACGCCCATGACGAGCGCCGAGGCGCCGACCAGCCCCATACCCCCGTGGGCGATGCCGTCCTGTAGCGGTTAGAGTGAGAGGATTAGACAAGGGGAGCAAAACAGAACTGCCTGAAGTTGCAAGTGAAAACCGAAACGAGGGCAGTGCTAGCAGCGAAAGGAATGTATTACCGCGTTGTGGTTGTCAGGCTCCTGGCTGAAGGAGAGGCGCTTGCGCTGCGGACAGGACTCGGACACGCACAGGTGCTTGGTGCCGTTGGCGCGCGTGTGCTTGTGCCGCGCCAGGTTGCGCCGGTGCAGGTCGATGAAGAAGAGGGCCAGCGAGCCCGCCAGGACGCACGTCGAGCTGAAGTAGTACCCGGCCTTGCCGCCGCACCCGACGTTGATGTAGCCTGAGAACAGACATTGGAGCGTCAAGCCTCGAGGCAGCGCCAGATTTCTTGAAAAGGAAGGAAAAATAAATAATGTGTTTTCTGATACGGGCTGCTGGAGCGCCTGCGACATAGGCAAACGTGGCGCAGCAGCGCGCGGCTGCGTGGCGGGGCTGCCTACTCACTGGCCGACAGGCGCTAGGCGCAGGTAGGCAGCCGAGCGGTGAGCGTCTGAGTGACGGGAGTGCCTATCCACGGGCCGACAGGCGCCAGGCGCGGGAAGGCAATCGAACCGGGTTAGCCACAGCCACTCAATAACAGAGTTTTTTTAAACCTCTGACTTTTCCAGGACACTCCCATGATCTTTATCGGATCACGAAACATGACAGCGGAAATGTGTGTGTGAGACCCGGCCCCCCGCGGTCGCTCGCACTCACCCGAGATGGGCACGCCGATGGCGATGGGGATGGCCTGGCTGCACTGCACGAACCCCCAGGTGCGCGCAAAGTTGCGCGCCCGCACGCGCTCGTACGTGTACATCTTGAGGGAGTAGTGGTAGCCGCCGCAGAAGATGCCGTAGATCCAGGCGAAGAGCACGTAGCCGTGGTAGGAGCCGCGCACGGCGGTGAGCGCCAGCATGCTGAGCCCGCACATGAACACGGCGGCCTGGCACAGGTACTGGCGAGCGATGCGGCACTCCACGTCGTTGCGCACGACCAGCAGCCCGAAGGCGGCGCAGCCCAGCGTCCAGGCCAGGCCCAGGTACGTCTGCAGCAGCACCACCGTCTCGCCCAGCCCCTCCTCCTCCGCCTGGTGCGCCTGGGGTAAAATAACAAGGTGGTAAGACTCAGAACCTAAAATACTTCAAGTGTAACGAAATTCTTTGGAAATGTTCTTTTCTTTTGTTACCAGGTAGAAGATGGGTGTGTTGATGCCGAAGGAGCTGATGCCGGTGGACACGAGCAGGATGCGCACGGTCTTGGAGCGGAGCGTGCTGAAGTCAAAGAAGGGCGGCCGGTCGTCCACCTTGTTCTTGTCCTTGATCTTGCGCTTCTGGTTCTTGAGGTGCAGGATGGCGCGGCGCTGCGGGTGGTACAGCGACGCGGATCGGTAGAAGGTGCCGAGGAAGAAGGACAGGAACACGGCGCCCGTGACGGCCTGCAGCCCCAGCCGCCAGCCGATCGCGCTGTGGACAGAGGAAGGCGTTGTAGGCCCGCACTCTCACAACTACTCACCAGCAGCTGACCCGCTGCTGCTGGAAGCCTGACCTGATGGCTCCTTTGATGAAGGCGGACATGACGGCGATACCCAGCCCGCTGCCTGACACGATGAAGATCTCCACGAACTCGCGTCGTCGTTTGAAGTACTGCGCCACCATGAGCGTCGAGCAGTCCCGCGTCATGCCCACACCCACACCTGGCGAAAATAAATTCAAGGTT